TGCTTTGGGTGCAAATTTACAGAGAAGAATTTGTTTTACATTCAACAGTTCATGTACATTTGGTTTCACTCCCCAATTACCATCCCCAACTCTATGCCACTCTCCTCATCTCCCTTCCCTGTGACCACCCCCCATCCCTGTGTCCTTCTTAGTTATGCACTCCTGGTCTGTCCAGCTTTCATTCCATGTGAATGCTTCCTGAACTCTGGTGCCCCATGTCCTATTGCCCCAAGAAGTATTTCTCTGTAGAGTAGGTGTGTGGATCACCCTGATTTGGGTGCTCTGCATGTAAGTCTCTCTACTGTTGGGCTGAAAGCCAGTCCTTGGGAGTGAGTCCCATACCTGGCCCAAAGTGTAACCCAGGGCCATAGTCTTGGGGGTTCCACCAGACTCCATCCAACCAGTAATTCTGGTCAGTATTGTGGTTTTGAATTTTGTTCCAGACTTTTCCTCTCACTTTATCCAGTTTTGATCCCTTCCTGAGTGGTTGGCATTGGTAGCCGGGCACCATCTAGTTCCTCTGGTCTCAAAGTCCATCATATCTTAGGGCTGATTGTTTCCAAATGCTCTTGGTTTTCTTAACTCTTCTTCATGTCAGATGAGAGGAGACAATTAGTTGCGTCTTAGAGGCCGCTCAAAAACTTTTAAGACCCCAGTTGCTACTCACCAAAGTAAGTTGTGGAACAAGATTTTTATGTATTATGTCATGCCATTTGAGCCTGGTTTTCCCCCAGTACTATGGTCCTGAGTCAGCAGACCTGGTGTTTCTCTCTCCCAAGGTATTTGGCTGTCTCTGAGGGATTACTCCAAGTTTGTCTTCTGTTACTTCTGTAATGATTGTGGTTATTTTGTATCACTAGTATCTGTGCAAGATTATCCTCAGCTAAATCTGTCATTGCTCTAGGTATCTTCCTGTTCACTGACCCCCATCTGATATTAATGATTATGTAATTTTCCTAAAAACAGCCCTGGTGATGCACTGGTTAAGTGCTTAGCTGCTAACCCAAAGGTTGGTTGTTTGAACCATCAGCCACCCCACAGGGAAAAGACGTGGTACTCTGGTTCCATAGAGATTTATAGCCTTGGAAACCTCATGGGGCAGTTCTACCCTAGCCCATAGTGTTGCTATGAGTTGGAATTGACTTGGTGTGAAGTTTTTTTTGTTTGTTTGTTATTTATTTAAAAGTCCCATTTTCCCATCCCTTTGACACATTAACTCTATCATATATTAAATTCCTACATATATTTAAATCTCTTTCTGATATATACTTGTTCCATTCATCCATCAGTGTGCCATGCCTGTCATGGCTTTGTTGTTTGTCTTTTTTTCAGTGGTTTCCTGGCTTTCTACTAATTTTGTATTTCCTTATGGACTTTAGAATCAATTTGGTTTAAAACACATTCTGTACTTTTTATGTGTATGTGTTTTATTTGAAGGAGCCCTGATGGTGCAGTTGTCAGCTGGTAACTAAAAGGCTGGTAGTTTAAACCTACTAGCTGTGTCATGGGAGAAAGATGTAGAAGTCTCCTTCTGTAAAGATTTACAGCCTTAGAAATCCTAGGGCAGATCTGTTCTGTCCTGCAGGGTTTCTATGGTTGGAATCAACTAGAAGACCATGGGTTTGTTTTTAGTTTGGTGTTTTATTCTTTGAAAAACTTTTTAAAATTGAAATCAGACATATATAAATGTTGGCAGAAATACTTATGGACCAGCACCCAATTTCAGCGATCAATTCATGGCCAATCATTTTCATCAATATTCCCACCCACATGATTATATTATTTTGAAATATATTCCAGTTATATCATTTTATCTGTAAATATTTAAATATAAAAGACAATAATTCTTTCTTTATTTTATTTTTTTAAACAAAATCGCAATGCCATTATCACCAACCAACCCTGTTGCCCTTGGTGGTGCAAAAGGTTAATGCGCTTAGCTGTAACCCACAGATTAGGGATTCAGGTCCACCCAGAGGTGCCTCAGAAGAAAGGCCTACTGATTAACTTCTGAAAAATCAGCCACTGAAGCTGATTTTTTTTTTTTTGAGCCCAATTGTACTTAGACAAATATAGGATCACCATGACCATTATCACGTTAAAAACTTTTTAGCAATATTTAACTTATCATCTCATAATGTTTTTCTAATTTTTAATTGTGATCAAGCTTAGTTCATAAATTTTCTTAGGAAGAATTAATGTACTTACAGTTGAGTTTTCCTGTCCAATGTTATAGAAAGTATTTGCATTTATTGACGACTTCTTTTATGGCAACTGCTATTTTAGGATTTTCTTCACATAGATATTTTGCTTTTTTTAAAATTTTCGATCTTGGTTATGACTTGTAAATTATACACTCTGACTGGTTGTTGTATTTATGAATTATATTGCTTTTATGTGATAACTTTGTATCCACTAACTGATTGAAGTCTCTCCTTGTTCATTGTGTTTTTTCAATTGACTATTTTATCTCAAGGATCTCATTAAATCATCTGCAATCAGACCTCCTCTTTCCTGATGTGTGCCTATAATTTCATTCTCATATGTAATTGCATTAACCAGTGCCTCCAGATCAGTGTTAAATGATAGCTGTGATGGTGGACATCTATGCCTAGTACAGATGAATGAATAAATTAATGCAAGGGTGGTATTATGAGAAACACTGTTGAATAATACCATCTTCTAAATAGAATATAAAAAGATTCACTTTTCAGCACTCCTACATGACTTCACCTCAAAAGCTAAACTACTACAAAGAGATTGAACTTACATTCATATTTCTTTATTAGCAAATTCCATTCTGTGTGTGTGTGTATGTGTGTGTGAGTGAGTGAACCACTTTGAAGTTTCCCTCCCACTCCCAATTTTTGATCCTTTGGGGTGCTGTATAATTTAAGGGAATAAGAAAACTCAGATATTCTTGATCTGCAGACATGATCTCCAAAAGCAGTTATTCTAGGTGTGATTTCCTGGTTTTCCATGAACCCTGAATCGATATAAACACGTATACTTTGGGTTCCCCCAGTTGCTGAGGATTTTCAGTTTCACACATAACAAAGATTCAGAAACTTCATGCTGAAAATCAAAAAAAGATCAAATTAATGCCTTAAAAACAAGTTAGTCTGTTATGGATTGAATTGTCTCCTCCAAAAAGATATGTCAAAATCCAAGCCCCTGCACCAGTGAATGTGACACTATTTCTGGAAGTAGCATTTTTCTTTGCAGATGTTACTAGTTAAATTAACAAATCACACTGGAATAGGGTTCATCCTACTCCTGATACCTTCTAAGTGGAATCTTATAAAACAGAACAGACATGCAAACAGTCACACACACAGTAAAGACAGAGCCCATGTGATAAGGGAAGTAGATGCATCTATAAGCAGCGAAGGAACACTGGGGATTGCCAGCAGCCACCAGACACTAGGAGAGAGGCGTGGAACAGTTCTCTTAAAAAGAAAGAATCAACATGGCTGAGACTCTGAATTGAACTTCTAATCTCCAGAACTGGATAAATAAATTTCTGTTTTTCATAGCTACCCATTTTGTGATATTTTGCATGGCAACTTTAGAATTAAGAAATCATCTTGAGGAATCCCACTGAACGCTAGGAATAATGGGAATTAAGACTCTTCCTTGCTAGCACAAGTATTTTCAAATACTTTTTTAATGGATGAGAAAATAAAATACTGGAAGTAAAAGGTCCATTAAAAATTTAGAGGAATAAGGTCATATAGCTGCCACAGTACTCCTTGTTGGCTATGCCAGGGATGGAATGTATGTGTGTGTGTGTGTGTGTGTGTGTGTGTGTGTGAGAGAGAGAGAGAGAGAGAGAGAGAGAAATAGAGAAGATAGAGAGATAGATCTGAAGCCAAATGTGAAATATGTATGTGACCCAAAATACATATAATATACAATCAAATATGAAATCGTGTAAGTACATTCGTTTCTAGCACCTATTTTTGGTTTGGGTTTTATGACCATTGGCCACGAAGTGCCATCAAACATTTGTTTTTACACAGTACAAAATGCCTTATACATCTGGTCAGTTACTTCCTATGGCTAATGAAAAATAATAAAATATATATTTTATACATTGCAGTGAACTTCAGAAGGTATATAAGTTGATACTTGGCATTCTTTCCCATTGGGTTAGGAAAAGAAATTTGGCTTATATTATCTGGTATTGAATATATAGTTTCTTCCTCTGAGTTTCTCTCTGCCCCTAACAATATTTTGTTGCTGTTATTATGTGCCATCGAGTCGGACCCGACTCTTAGCGACCCTTCCTTGGGTTTCCAAGGCAGTATCACTATGGAAGTAGATTGCCCCATCTTCCTTCCAAGGAGTGGCTGGTGGGTTTGAACAATCTTTTATCGAATCATCATTCTTACCTTACCCTTTACCCAAAGAAGATTGAATAATGACTATCAAACATAACTGTATCAGGGAAAGGAAACAGTTAAGGACAGAAAAATGAATATATAGAGTAGTGACAGATGAGGAAGAATTTGGCTTAGAAATTGCTTTCATATTTGGCTATCTTTTGCATTAAAATCCACTTAAGCTTAAGCAAGATTTCAGATGAGCTTTTGAGCTTTTTAACTCAAGCTTTTGTCCTAATTATTTACACACACCAGTTTCTACTAAGCAACCCCAACAAATCCCTTTGAGTGATGGAGCTCACTCTACTTTTTCCCTAGGGCTCTCATTACCTGGAGCTCAAATGTTTGAACAGTGGTTTCTTCTTTGTCATATATAAACTGGCCTAGGAAAATTTCTTCTCCTTTACATTCTTCTGAGATGCCCTATAAAAAAGCAATAGAAATAGTGGTTATGAGTGACTACTTGATAAAAATAAATGGAGGCATGTTGTCTACTGATTCACCAAACATCTTTGGGTACCACCAGAGGCATGGTGATATGGTAGGTTTTAGTCCTGGCCTATATTCCAAAAGTCTTTTAGCTGAGGAGTGATCACAGACTGATCACAGGTCTGACATAGAAACTTAAGGCAAATCCCACTGCTAATGCTAGCATAATAAGTATATTTGCAGTCAGGAATACTTTCCACTGACTAGACTACATAACAACAACAACAGACTAGAAAACAAGAAATTATACTGATATTGATCTAATATTTCCCAAAATGAGATCCATTTAATCCAATTAACAGAATTTTAACACATAAATAACTCCTTCTTAAAATTAAGCTTTTGTTGACAGAAAGAAAATAGTTAATATTTCTGAAAGAAAATAATATTTGTATACAATTTCCCTTTTGCTCTTTACTCTTCTTCTCCAACATCAAAATTGAATTTTTTTGAGGGGAGAATGCACTAATGGAAATTATTTTGTAAATCTACTTTATTGTTAAATCTGAAACCCAAGGCACCAAGTTGATTCCAATTCATAGCAACCCTGTAGGACAGAGTATAACTGCCCCATAAGGTTAAGATCAGGGTTACAGGTGAAGAGAGACAACTCAGTGATGCCCAAAGTAGCAGGTGGGAAGAGCAGGAGAAAGGGGATCAAAAGGCAGGAAGCCAGAGAAAAGAGCAATCAGCTGAAGGGATGAGGTGAGGAGAGGAAACTCAGGCCCACCCAGAGTAGCAGGCCAGAAGAGCAGGAGAAAGGGGATAAAAGCCAGGAACCCGGAGAGAGGAGCAGTCAGCCCCAGGGACAACTCAGGGATGCCCAAAGCAGCAGGTCAGAAGAGCAGGAGAAAGGGGATTAAAAGCCAGTAAGTCAGACAGAGGTACAGTCAGCCACAGTGACCCAGGTGGGGGTGATACGAGAGGTCTCCAACAGCAGGACAAACTTGTCTGTCGGTTGTCCTACTGTGGTGACATATAGACTTGAGTTTTGAGGCTGAGCCTCTGGTGTTTAAAACCCAGCGAGATGCACCTGGTGCACAGGTAACAGCCCAGCTTATAGACTGAGACAGAC